TGATCCTAAAAGTTTATGTGAGACTTTTAACAGTTTTAGTAATTTATACTCATTTTGAAAAATTCGAAATACAACATACACAAAAAAAAATCTAGATTTTTATTATATGATTAATGTAATTGTGTAATTTATTTTAATAATAAATAAATAAACAAAATGAGAAAAAATATACAGATTGTTATCAAATCTTTATTGTTTAAAATCATTAATTGTCATATATATTTTAATCACATTAGGTAATTCCGTAGGTTTTATTTAAGGAAAGCATGCGAAACAATAAATATTTGATATATGCGACCAACTATAGTCTACGAAATATTATATTGCTAGATAACATAATTTTTAGACTATACATTATATCACATGCTCTAGAATCCTTGGGATTTGAAATAGAAGCCAAAGAGCTATGCCACATAGGATTGAGATTATATTTAATTCTTACAAACTTAAGGTTACAACTTTTAAATGATTCTCAAATAATATATAGGGGATTCTAAGGTGAAGTACAACGACTTTTAAAAGAAAATTTCAAAAAGCTATTTTTTCAACAAAAATTAAACATATAACTCCTTAATTCTCTATTAGATAAATGTTTATTTGTGAAATAGTTAAGAAAAATATAGAAATTGGTTTTATAGAAAGAAGGTAGAGAGAGATGGGAAGAAAAAAAAGGTAAGAGAGTGTTGTTTTTGGTTAGTGAGTGCATTTATATTTTTCATGATAATCTACATTTTTTATCTAGTAGATCAACTCTTTATTAGTTATTTAATGTGTATCTCTTTCTTACTAGATTTTCACACTGGAAACGTTATTTGTTGGGAATTAAACAGATTAATATGCAGCATATACTTCATATATACTTCTAAAAGAACACAAACACGACTGGAAATAAAGAAGAATCTACCATGACAAATTACAGAAATTTAATTACGTCACACGTTTTCGGTTTTGATCCTTTTGACATAGGGAACCTCGCATGGGCAATTGCGATTCGTTTTCCTTTTTTTCTCAAAACGAGTTTCTTCTTCCTCGAGACGAGCTGCTGCTATAACTCTCACTACCTCCTTAACAATTTCCTTGACAAAATCAGCTTCAGAGCTGCGATAAGAGCAAACTTTATGTAATTCATATATAAATAATAATTTTCATTATTTTTTTTTGTAACTCATATTTTGGAGGGAATGAATTAGTGCGATTGTGATTGGAAAGTACCTCTCGTCTCTCAACGACAAACCCATCTTGCCGGAGATACATTCCAGTGCTTCCTTCCACTTCTTGATCTGATATCCACTAGAAGCTTTTGCGAGCTTCCAGAAGTTATCACCAAACTCACCGGTTTGTCTCCGAACGTCACGTGCTCTCACCCTGTAAAATACTGGAATGACTTGTATCTTCCCTTTGTCCGTTTGTTTCTTCATCTTCACCAACTCATCCATACACCAGCCCGACTCTGCGTACCTATAATTATTACGAGTCTTGTTAATATTTCTGATTCAGCGAAGTGGATATTGGTTCTCCAAAGAGCGTGAAAGAAATACTGCACAAACCTGGTAGAGAAGATGGCAAGGGCGATTCTCGATTCTTTGATTCTTACAAATAGATCTTTGAGATCCTTGCCTCTTTGCTCGTATTTGTCTACGAAGAAGTTGATTCCATGCCTCGCTCAAAAGCATCAATGAGATGACTAACAAAGCTGTAACGCAATTGCTCCCCTCGGTAGTTCAAGAAGACTTGATGGGACTTAGTGGAAGATAACATTTTCATCGTTGGACGATAACGTATGAAATTAAGAACTCGACGTGGTTAAAACCATAAGGTGTGTTCTCAAAAGCATAAGAAGAGGAAACAAGAGTGCATTTTATCCTTTCTCAAACAAACCGCATAGCCTAAGAGACATATATAATAAGGAACGCCCGATCGTAGGTCGTTATCATTTATAATATAAAACAAGGTTGATAGTTACACTAGGCAAGGTTAAAGGCTTAAAGCTTTAAAGCGGCTGATAAATTTGTTATTTAGCATGTCCTGTTTTTGATTGGGACCCCAATGATATAAAAAGCCAATACTGAGCCGTTATTTAAAGAAATCTTCTAATCAATATAACAAAAAAACTACAGTAGGTGGAATGAAGACAGGGGTATTTTAGGAAAACGAAAAAGACTTATTAGGAATGAGATTAGGAATGAGATTAGTTGAAAGCTCTTTGTTTACATATTTTGCTATAATATACGCACGTCTTCGTAAATTACTTTTAAAACTCACATGCTGCGAAATTTTAAAGGAATTAAGGTGGATATCGTCTTTCTTCCACGTATACGCCGCCATTTGTCTTGAATAAAAGGTGGATTCCGTGTATAAACTTGAAATTTAGGCAGAAAATTAAACCGATGAGAATTGGTTAAAGATAAATTACAATGGACCTCCACGAAATGCAGACCATGAACAAAACCAGTGGCCATTTCAATAAAAGAGGATAATCCGCAACATTTAAAAGAAATCAATTTCAAAACCTATGTTATTTTTTTAAAGAATACACCTGTGTTTAACTTTGTTTTTTTGACATCACCTGTGTTTTCCTTTGTACTAATCTTTCTGTAAACAAACAAAACTGGTTTCATCACTTTGGTAGAAATTCAAACATTGTAAATAATCTCTCCATCGCGAATTGAACCTAACTGGCAGAAGTTACAGTTGCAACTTCTTTATTACTAGACCAAATCATCATTGGTTATACTAAACATTTTTATTTTAATATTTTGACAAACACACAAATAGTGCGAATTAGTGAGAACTCACACGGTAAGGCTTCTCTGCTAAAAGATGCTTTGCTATATTTACTTAATCATATGTATTGTGTCGCCGTAATGCATATACATATTACAGCATGCACAATTTAGTCGTCATACAGATCGGAGAATGTCATCATTATTGTTGGCATGCAGCCAATTTGAGAGTCGGATTAATATTTTGTCTTCTGATTCTTTCTTTGATACACTAAAATGGACAAACATTTATATTTTGAATATCATAGACAACATAAATTTGTTTCAAATTTTTTAGTATGCAAGGGTCTAAATATGCTGAAGATTTAAGGGTGATTTCATTCAACATTTTTACATGACTCACCTTGGATATAGTAGACCAAGGAGAAACCACAAATGAGGGTAGATGACTAGAACATAATAGAAAAGTGTAAGGAAATAATTTGCTCGTTTTGGATATGAAGAAAATTCGAGCATAGATTCTTGTAAGGGGGAAGGATTCAGCGATTCAAGAGGTGGAGTAGACTTTGACTTCGTGGACAGCTAAGCACAAGATCAGATATCAAATGTATCTACAACATCACAAGAACGTTCAAATCCTCTATGTAACCAAACCAACCATGAAACTCTAAATATTTACATGAAAATAAATGTGAAATGAATGTATCTATGTATTCTAATAAACTGTATTATGAATTTGATTCCCTTGATGTTACTGGATAAAACAATGGGGCTAGAGCTGTTAATTGGATATTGTATTTATGATAATTCATCCCATGGAAATTCATGCGCTGCAGTGCATCGACTCTAACTTCATACATGTGAGTTTTCAGTGACTTTCCTATGTAGGTTATTGATACGTTCGACGTCCCTCAAATCCAAGACTCATCTTTTAACAACTTTTCCATAGGGTGATGTCGTTAGTAATCTCAGTTAATGGAGGGTGATGTCTTGGGTTTGAGTAACGTCAAGCGTATCAATAATCTATATAAAGAGTCAATGAAGATTCACATGTGAGAGATTAGGGGTAGGTGTACTGCATCGTTGTGAGCTTACGCAAGATGGGTTGTCAAAAAAAAAAGTCGACAACCTATGAGAAAGGTGAAATCAATTGGCTATAGATTGTCTAGTGGAAGAATTGTTAAAATCTGAGGTTTGGGGTTTGAAGAACACCAAATGTATCAATATTTACATGGAGAATCAGACATGTGAAAGATTAAGATCGGTGTGATGTATGTCTGTGAGCTATGGGTTGTATTATAATTTGTATCGTTTCGTTACGTTGTTGTCGCCAGAAGTAACAAAGGTGACTGAGATAATAATACCCAACGAATAAGAGGTTTGTTGAGGCTTCCAGCGAAAACCCTAAGTAGATTCCAAAATGTGTCTAATCACGGAAAAGGAATGATAACGTGCTAAATGTACCATCAAGAAAAACCAAGTATTTATGTTTCTATGATGATGCTAGTGAAAGCAAGAACCTTAAGGCAATGAGTTTGGATTGTCTAATCGAAGAAAGCCTTGGTCATCAGATTGAACAACGAAGGTAAGGAAAATGACAGAGTTTTCCGTCAGTTGCGACGGGCTTATATGCATCTTCGATAAGATCAACTTGACAACACCAGTTACTATGATGAACAATGTAAATTGGCATTATTTCTTTCAGCCATATCAACCGAATTGGCAAATCACATTCTCTGCAACTTGTTTGTATCTCTCAACCTGTTTGTGTAATCCTAGCTGGCGAGACTGCCTTCATCTCGAGTCTGCTTCAAAAATCAACTCATCTCCGAGAGATTGTGGAACCTCTATCATTTCTTCTCATATGATCGCTCCTCTTATAGTCTCGATCATGACTCTTAACGGCCAAGCCAGCTCATCACCTTATTATTTCTACCCATTTGCCAGCTCATCACTAAGCAAGGATGGTACTTACCATAAACAAAGTTTGTATATTGAATTATCTTCCATGAAAACATTGCATTTTTCTTACAGACTTTGTTATTACAAGACAACACTTCATCCATAAAATGTAACCTATTGTTAGAAGAACGAAAAGATCCCTGTAATTGTTGTCTTTCCCCATGTACAAAAGAATCCACATAACAACAGAATCTTGAATCTAGTTTTAAGCGTTAAAGCTTTTTACACAAAAGATTCCAACACTTAGTTGAAACAAAAGAGGTTCCATTAACCAAATTAAAAGATTCCTTTAAACTCACAGATATTCTTATTTTCTCAAGTGATTTGCTCTTCTTTAAGCCTCAAACGCGCAACACGCTGTTTTTGATTCAAATTAACCGATGAGGTGCCGTGTAGATTGTTGTTTGGTCTTAACTGATGGCTGCTATTTCTAGCAGCTGGAACGTCATGGTTATGTTTCCCTTCGTATGTGGTCACAACAGCTTTAGGGTCGTTTGCTGCTCTCTCTACATGTTTCCTTACTCCACATCCTGGTGTTGTACACTTATAGTAGCTCCTGTGAATAGATAAAAAATAATGTTAATGATAAAAATCTAAAAACTCCATGGCCTGTTTGGTTTTTCAGTATCACCTTGGATAAGGATTTCCTTTGACTACTTTCTGACCATACTTACGCCATCTGAATCCATCATCTAAGAGATCAACTTCACTCGTCGTTTGGACAATAATTCTAGGCTCTGTCACGGTTCTTTGCGTTGTAGAAACTGGTTCTGTAACCCGCACTTCCACATTTCTGCAACATAAGGGATGAAAATGTAAAGAGGAGCAGTCACATCTCTTAATAAGTTTTCTTTTGTTTTATACCTTCTCTTGGGATCAGGTTCCACACTAGTTTCCTCGCTATCACTTGCATCACACATCTGCTCTGTTGTTGTAGTAACCTGGCTTGTTTCCTGGTCTCTTCTGGTCTTGTTGTGACCACTATTACTGGTTTGAAACTGAGTTGCAACATCAGAACTTTTAGAATTGTCTCTCTTAGTCTTGTTTTGGGGAGGCTCGTGACTATGCTGACCCTTGTAGATGATCTCCGTCACTTGCCCATCCTTAGATCTCTCAACCTTCTTCTTGACAGGACAAGAGGGATGTGTACATTTGTAATAACTCCGAGGAAAATCGCTACCTTTGACTTGTTTCTGCCCGTATTTTCTCCAGTTGTATCCATCATCAGCTGGTTTATCAGCGTTTTGAGGCTGTGATGACCGATGCTCATAGACTGATACTTCCATGGTATCTCCCTGATCCGGGGCAGGAAGCTGGGACATAGGTTCAGAAGAAGTCTCTTGTTGTTGTGTAGAGGAAGTATGTTCGGATTGTGACTGCATTTGGACACTACTGCCTTGAACTGCTTGTGCAGTGACTTGTGCTAAAGCTTGTTGATGTGTCATACCAAATGATCCCTTAACACATAAAAAATCACATTAGTATTAGCTAATGATAACAAAGCCTAGCAAATATATTACTTAACTAATACCATTGCAAAAATTCAAGATTTTGTCAACAAGGTTCAAAGAAACAATACTAAAGATCCTTAAGAGTTGATTATGGTCCTCTCTTTGACATTTAAAGATACCCTTTTGTCCGAAAGTTTCCTACTTTCTATATAAAGTAACTGAAACTCTCAAAGATTCATAAAGTCCTCAGAAACAGAGTTTCTAACTAACGACAAAAAAAAAAGAGATTAATGTGAAATGAAACCCACACCTGAATGGGTGAAAAGAGACCAAAGAAGCTCGGAGAATCAAGAAGCGTCGCCGGACTTAATCCCGGTGGCACGGTGAACATCCCCGGAGGCTGTGTAATCATCAACCCCGTTGGTCTGTTTTGTCTAAACCTCGGGTCAACAACATCACCGCCGCTTCCACCGACAGAGCTCACGGATGTCTGATGAGCAGAAGCAACAACAGCGGCGGCAGCAACAGCAGCAGCAGCCGGAGAAGCCATAGCTCCGGCAAGAAGCTGAGAGAAAGATTTGAGTTCATCAGGATCAGAGAAGAGATTGGAGACGAGGGTCATAGGACCAGGACTGAATCCAAGACCACCGCTGAAAAACATTTCTCCAAAGGGACGAGGAGGGAGTGAGATCGTTGGACGTGATGAAGCTCCGGTTGATGGTTGCTTTTGTTGATGTTCTTCTTCTTTCTCCGCCATTGATGCTGGTTTTTACAAAACAAGGAGAAGATAGAGAGAATCTAACAAACTCAAAAACCAGAAAAGATAACTTTGTTTTTTTCTTTCTTTTCTCTTTTTAAAACTCTTTTGTTGTTTCTTTACACAATCCGTGTCGTGTTTCAGTTTCACTTCGTTTTATTTTTAAATGTTTTTTTTTTATCTGTATAGTCTTTAATAGGGGAGAGAATTTGAGATATTTTTTTTGTGTGTTTCTTCTGTCTTGAAGCAGATCTCGAGAAATAAAAACATTAAATTTGCTTTCGCAGTACAAAGTCTGCGGTGCAGATATGGAGGAGTAAACTCTCTGTCTTTTTCCCTCCTTCCATTTTATCCATTTAATTATTTGTTTCTCTGATTTAAATAATTTCCGGAAAATGGTATATCTTACATTATGAATGCTATAAATATCTGTTTTAAAAGGTTGTTGTGGAAAGTAAAAATCCGAACATACTTGAATTGTTTCAAAAAGAAGTAACTCATGAAAATGTGATTATTATTACAACATGCCATGAAGAAGTTGATTTTTTATTAATCACAATTTACATAGGTAATTAGTCATAGATCGATTTTTAATAAAAAACAGACTATATACCATCGTGTTTTGAAATTATATCACAAACAAAAATAGTCTAAGTTTCAATTTTGTCATAAAAATTGGGTTTATTCGAAGATATATGATAGAATTCGAATGATAATACAAAATTACCATGATACACTAGGATGAAATAGTTAAAAAAAAAATAATTTGTCAACAATATATTTTGGAACTATTGTATAGTATTGAGGGTGTGATTGGTTTTTGGTGGAGTAATATGGTGAAAATAAAATGGTGAAAATGGTGGAAAAAAAAACGTCACATCAAGAGTAAAACATTTCCTTCCACTAGTATAGAGCGTAAGAGCATCTTTATCCCGTGTTGCTTAGAGAGTTGTTTAGGAGGAGAGGGTTGCTTAATTTGAAGAGAGAGTGTGTGAAAATTGCTTAATTAAGTAATTTTCACACACTCTCTCTTCAAATTAAGCAACCATCTCCTCCTAAACAACTCTCTAAGCAACTTGGGATAATGATGCTCTCACATATTAGTATACTTTCTCACTTTTTTAGCGTTAATGGATGGAAAATATTTCCACCTAATTGGTAATAAAACAGAGTAAGTTAGTGTTAATATTTATTACTCTATTTTTGTTACGCTACAAGTGCTATTCAGTCATATCCTGAGTAATAAGTTACAGATTCATTTATTGGCCATTGGCGACAAAGGATCTAATAGATTCTATATATAATTCATCGTGTTTTTCAATTCTGTGAGCAAATTCTTTTATCTATTTTTGTTGTAATCCTTGGGATATGATTGGCTCATACGCGAAATGACTATAAAAAAAGCGTCGGCGTATTTGTGTGTAAAACCACGACTTTGTCCTTAACAAAAGTGTGTGCCTCCTCGCAAGTCAACAGCACCTCCAAGCACGACTCAACCAGTTTGTCCCTGCCACGTTCTACAAATAAAATTCCGCCACGTGTACTACGAGTTTATAAGCGTAATCGAAATAGCTGTTTTGTCAAGACAAAACACACAAATTCACTCCTCCCACCCATGAACACTACTATTTCATGTAAATGATATATGGGATTTCTAACTCAAAATCAATAAATGTTCCTTACATTTTCTTGGCATCTTATGGTGAAAGATGAAACGTGTGAGTTAGAGAAAGAGTAAATTTAGCTGGCAGCAAAAAAAAAGAAAACAACTTGACTTTTGGAGGGCCCAAACAACTTTGAAAACGGGCCAAGAGACACAATACAGACTTAATATCTGTGGGTTCCACGACGGGGCCCTTTTCATTCATTGCCACAACGAATCGCGTCGTTACTTATCACATCAAGAAAATTAGAGAAAACTGTGCTTGTGTAAACGCTTGAGTCGCGTCTTTATAAAGTTTGATTGCCAATCACAAAAAGAGATATTAGAACTTTTATGATAACCTAACGGATTTCTTTTATATCCTCTTCTTGAGTGCAGTAAAATTAACATGTAGGCTTAACATTGTAAACTACGTTAAGGAAATCTTAAAAAAATTTAAACTTTCTTGTCACCATCTCTTTTATCATTTTAATCTTATCGACGCTCCAAAATAACTTAAAACCAACTTGAGTCAAAGAAAAGAATATAAAAAAAGATCTGACCCTTCATGCATGTTCCACTTTGACTTGGGAGATATAGCTTGAAGTGAAACATGTAACTAATACATTAAACAAAAAGATTATGGAAACCGGGCCTCGTGGTCTGGTGGTAAAGGACCCTCGACTGAGCTGCCCGCCATCACGAGTTCCCGGCCACAGCGGATTTAACATGGTTTTCGTTTGGTCTCCAAGACTTTCCTCGTGTTCCGGTTAGACGTGGTGGGATAATCAGACTAAGTGAGAAGTTTGGATACCTGGATTATCAAAAAAAAAAGATTATGGAAGTATGGAGATGGTTTTAAACCGGATTTTTCTACGAAGCAAACTTGGAAATTTTTGCGAGGGGAGCGGACGCAGATTGAATGGGTTAATAAAGGAGTGTGGTTTCAGTACAACACTATGAAGCTCTCCGTATACACATGAGTGGCTATCTTCAGTAGACTGCCGGCTGGTGATCAGCTTTCACTATGGAATGAAGGCATTACGGTTTTGTGTTCACTTTGCAAGGATTGGCCCGAGTCTAGAAACCATCTGCTCTTTTAATGTCAATAGTCCGGGGAGGTTTGGTCGAGCCTCACCAAAAAGCTTTTCACAATGGATTACACTAAGACATAGTTCCACTCCTCACTAAAAACGAAGCAACTGGACATGGACATGTTCCTTTTTCTTTTTTTTTTGCCTATGGAATGTTTTCTTAATTAGATTGAGTTTCTAAAGTAAAACCTAGCAACACATTATAATTATCTTCGTAATTAAAGTCAAGAGAAATTTCCTAAATATGTTGTTGTTTTAATTAATTAATAACTAAACATATCCTTGGTGCGAAGTTCTCTAAGTAGGTGAAACAAAACACAAGAGATAGTGAGATTTACGGGTGGGGGCAAAAAGAAACACATTTAACCAAGATGAGAGTTGTATATATACCTCTTCCCAAAATGCAAATAAAACCAAATAACCAATTATGAAATTTAAAAATGGTAATAAACCGTTGCAAACAACATATTTTAGAACTCTCCAACGACTTTGATAGCATCATGAGGTGTGTCGTAAACATTCTTAGACCGAGATTTCTTGACACCAGCAGTGAACCAAAGCTTGTCCGACTTTGAACTCTCCACTGAGACTGTTGTGACTTTGACCCAAACCAACATTTTTGTCTTCATTCCTTCCACACCCATCAGTTTCCCTCTAAGCAAGATCCCTTTAACACGTGTTGCGTACCTTATCGCTGATCCATCTTTGAATGTGACTTCGCACGGTGTAGAGAAGAAGACAGTAAGCTTGTTCTTGGTCTCGTCGAATTCGTAGCAGATTATGTTTTGTGGGAAGAGTCCTGATGGTAAGTTGTATTCTTTGAGTAGTTCTGGTAAGCTTTTGAGTGGCTTTCCTGTTTTTTTAAAAAGGAGACACGAAATTGTGTAATCTTGGATTTGTTTATCAGTGAGCATAATGAAAATGGTGTTACCTTTAAGCTTGTTGAAAACCCATTTCGCTTTTTCTTCAACGGTGCTAGAGAAAGTCTGGAGAAGAGAAAACAAAGTGCAAATTGACCGTATGTCATATAAATAACGAAGGCTATGCACACGACAAGACATAAATGATACCTAATAGTAAAGTAGTACCGAATCAAAGATAAGCATTATGTTTTCAAATTGATGCAATGAAAGAACAGAAATAAGTGGAAATCAACCAAATAGCCAAGCCTATGAACACAGGACCTAGAAAGGTAACCAGATCATGTTTCTAAAAATGGTATTGAAATGAAATATAAAGATTATGTAATTAATATGAGGCAATGAAACAGCAGAGATGTGCAAATCAACCATACATAGCCAAGCCTATGTTCAAGACATGAACTATAAGGTAAATTTTGTCATAGAATTGATATCAACTCAAGAACATAAAAAAAAAAAGCCTATAAAGTGGTTAGGTTGGTTTCATCTATCAGTTGAGTTGATCAGTTCAGAAAATGAAGACTTTCATATGCTTAACTGAATTTCAAAATTCATCTCAGATCTTCCTAGATCTATGATTCTTCTTCTACAATTTTGAATCATCCAGAAACCAAGAATAGACCATTTCAACCAAGGCAAAACCGACCAACATTACATGAAATATAACCAAACCCATGAATTTCAGACAGGAACCAATATGCAAAATCCAAGAGAAAACAAGGCATAGATCAAGATTTGCACTCACGGTGAGATCATTGGTTATGTTGGAGAGCTCTTCCTTGGCTTTCTTGGAAACCCATGAACCTCCCACTTTGAAGCTCGTCACTTTCGTTAACACCTTCTCCATTTTTCTTCTCCTCCGAAGAGTGAAGACAAAGAGCTCTCAGCTAAAAAAAGTGACAGAGCAGAGTGAAAGCGGCGACTCACGAAGATATCTCGAAAGAGGGCATTTTCGTCTTCTCGTTACCTCCTTTTTTTTATCAACTTAATTTCCGCTTTTTTTGCCTAAACTTTCAAATTACGAATACTTTTAGATGATAGTTTAAAACTTTAAAATGCGGAAGAAGACTCTCTAATCGTATATATTTAAAAACTACAACTTTCCTTTTCTGATTAATTGCTTCAAAATACAAGTTTGAAATATATTAAATTTAAATTTAAAAGTTAAATGAAAACTCTCTAATTTATGAAGACTCCTCTAATTAAAAGTTAAATTTGTGAACAATGCTTTGTCTTAACGCGAAATTGAATTTTCTTGAAATGATTGGATAGTGAAAATATTCTGTGGGGGCCGCAGATTAACGCTGTTCCAGCACATAACCTTATGTATAACGCAATTATTTCACCAATCATTCTAGCTCAGGACTTCAAAAACCAACAAGTACTGCTGTTTGTAGTATTAGCGACAATCTGAATCAATTTCGGTTTAGTTTGGTTTAATTTAGTACAAATCATATCGATTCGACATCAGAAGAAAATACCAACACCAACACACAAAAAAAAACAAACTAATTCAAAAATAGACAAATCATTATGATCACAAAACATAAAACGTGAATTAACCTTCTATGTCCATAAAAGACTTAGCTTTCTCATAAGCTTTAATCATATGTTGCCTAAACCGGGTCACATCTAATCTAACATCTTGTTCTTTCAAATAAACATTCATTTTAGTCGCATTCCAATCCATTCCTCTAAAAGCAATCGGATCTCTCAAAACCAAATCATCTCTACTATACTTTTCTACCAAACTACTCTCTTCAACATTCACTCGATACTCAGTGTACTCCAACTTCATTGCCTTAGCTGGCGATTCAAAGCACGTTTGAGACACCCAACCTAACCCAAGCGGAACAATCTGAACCAAAACCGAACCGGGTCTAAGAAACAGCAAATGTGTTAGTGCAGCACCATGTACCCCGACCATCCCGTGGCTCGACTTTATAAGTTTATACGCTTCTTTCAAGCCCGTTGTTTTCGATGGTCTGAATATGGTTACCTCGAATCCAACATCTTCAAGCATCTCTTTGATCTTCTCCTCGTTTAATATCACCCTACCAACGTTACCATATCGACTGATCAATATGAGGCGAGGCTTATGGGCTTTAAGAGTAGCTATGTTTGTGTTGTAAGCTCTGTCTAAGAGATTATGAAAGTCCACTAATGATCTGGAGTTGGGTAATTGGGTTGAGTCAATTGTCATGGGCCCATGAGAAATTAAGCCCACAGCAGCTGAAGTGAAACAATGTGTAATAGAAGAAGCATTTTCATTCTCGAGTAATATGGTTCTGTGTTTGCTAAACGCACCTAGAACATCCATGTATCTTGGCATCCACCATTCCTTGGGGTTGACTACCACAATGACAAAATCTCGGTCGGGGTAGATCGAATTTGCTGTGATGAAGAGTGGAATGAAACCATCGATGAAATCGTGATAGATGTTTCCGGTGTAACCTCCGGCGCTGAACACAATAGCAGGTGAATCATGTGTTATGTCACATGATCCAGTACGGGATAATGGGCCTGAGGTTAGTGTTACTTCTTTGATTCTAGGCATGACCCAGTTGTCTGCTTTTCTTGGGTATGGCCTGATCTTCTCGACAATTGGTGCTGACGTGGAGGAAGTGGGGTCCATGAGAGCCAAAGTTCCAGTTCTTTGGTCAAGACTACAGGTGCCGTTGATTGAGCAGAGATCGAAGTCAGTGTGGGAACGGTCACATGTGATTGTTGATGAGGTCATCTCTTGCGGGGCCTGGTCCTCGACTCTTCTAATTCTGGATTTCCATGTTTGTTGCAACGTGCCTATAGAGGAAACTTTATTTTAATTAAAAGATAATATAGTGGATATTTTTAAACGATTTAAAATTGAAACATCTTTGTTTTCTTTTGAAATGTCAACTGAGAAGTGTGAAGTAATGAATAGTCAGACAAGATCTGCTTCTTTTTCCTTTCTTATAAAGGTTGGCCAAACATTACTGGTATCATTTCTTTTTAATATAAAATCAAAGTCCTGATTAATTTAATAAATAGCCTTGAGTTCATCTAATATAATGATATGGTTAAGTAATTTTTTTTCTTTCCACTCTCATGGTTTCTGAGAAAATAAGAAATTAAGCTTGATTCAATTTATTGTTATTATTTGATTACTCTTTAATTTTGCCTTATAAATTATAATCCATTCATTCTAGTTATCTCAGTTATTCTAATTGTCATAAGTCAGACTGTTAGATTAAATATAATTTCCGAGTATATTACACAAATATTGAATTCAAGCGAAGTTTGAGACTAGCTTGGTCAAAAAACGCCGACTACTAAGCTTAAACAAATGAAAAAACTATGATTAACTGAATAACCCTTCACGTGCCTTAGAAGATACTATATAATCATGTAAGTTACAGATTCATGTAAAAATTATTATTTGTTCGAGACTGACACGAAATTCAATTATCATTGGTTTTGGTAATACTAGTGTGTAGATCTTTACTCGTATCAAACCAATCTCATATGGAGTAATAAACAAACTGGAAAAATCTCATTTTAATCTTTAAAATAGCAAAAGACTAGCATTTTAAATCATAGTTATTTGACTTACATTTTAAGCATCTTACAAAGAAATGATATCCATTTTAGCAAACAGAAAAAGCAATGTTAAACCATTAATGTTAACCAAACCTTCAGCTAGTGTCCAATACTTTAAAGTTTAAAATTTATGGCGTCCGATCAGTCATACCATTTTAACGTTTGATTTAGTGCTACCGTTGTGTTTAGCATTCAGATTTACATAAGCTAAACTAACTTAATATTGTGAGTTAGTATTAATTAAAAAACAGAACTCGTTCTTCTCCTTGTAAGACTAATATAGTATTACGTATAAAAGGGTTTTGATCGCAGATTCTAAAGATGAAGAAGTAGTCTGATATTTGACATACCTTGAGAGGAACTTAACGAAGGAATCATTTGAAGATCAGACACGGTGGAGAAGATAGAAAGATACGTCACCAGAACGACGAACGAGGCAACTGCGGCCACCGTATAAATCTTCGGTATCGTTTTCGTAAACATGATTTTTTGGTTTTTGGTGTAGTGTGAGAAGTATGTATCTATGAATACAATCGAAGCTTTACGGTCCTTAAAAGCGTTTTGTATCCTTCATTGGAGGAGAAAAAGAAGAAAAACATTGCAAGACGATTCACAAATGCGAACGAGATGCACATCTTTATATACTATTTTTAATTTTTCCCTAAACACAAAATTTTGATTTGTTATAATTGTCTTCCTCAGTTTAGCACATGTCTTTTTCCCTTATATTATGTAAACTCTTTATGAATATATTTATAATCTTTTTTAATTTCCCTTAAAACAAGATTTGAAAGACTGCCATGTACATGTTCCTTTCGCCCTTTCTATACTACATAGGCGAAGACTTTGACTCAAATAACCTATTTTCTTAATTGTCTGCCGCTACGAGAGTGACAATTTTATTAATAAAACCTCTAATAATTTTTAAATTAAACAATCTTCCAGTAATAAATGCCGATCATGCATGGGATACGCAATATTATAATAGAACGTATAATTAACAATAATGTATATCCCACATCTTGTATACGCTTACAGGCTTACAGCTAGCTGTTCACTCCATTTTGTCGTTTCGATAAATCATAAAAGCGACAGATATTTAAATCTTTATTTGTTTTTTGGGTGAAATGTTAAGAATTTAAATCCATATTAGCAACCAACTAAAGATATAGTTTCTTTTACGTATCTACATTCATTACTTTCTTACTCAATATAGTTGTTTTTGCTTCTTCAACGCAAGATGCTCAAACTGTGAAAAAAAACTGATTGATGTCATTTTCATGGGCATTAAATCATTCATTTAATTATATCGTGGGCCTTTAAAGGCCCATTAATTTCTCATAACAAACCTCAAGACCAAACATTTGGCGGGAAGAAGAGCCACACCGCCGCCGGGAAGTTGCTACCGATGCTACGCTTACGCCTCTGTGTTTCTCCGATTAGGAGATTTACATTTCAACAGAGACGTCTCCATGACGTCTCCATAACATCTCAGCATCACTACGCCGCCGCATCGATCCCTACCCTCCTTCGCCTCCTAACTAATTGCAAAAGCATCGATTCACTTCGGAAAGCTCACGTGATCTTAACTGTGACTGGCTCCACGTGTGACATCTCACGTGCCACTAAGCTCGTGAGTCTCTACGGTTCCTTTGGGTGTACTAAAGACGCACGCTTGGTGTTCGATCAAATTCCTGAACCAGATTTTTATCTATGGAAAGTAATGCTCAGCTGTTATCACCAGAACAGAGAGAGCCTCGAAGTCGTAAAGATTTATTCTTTGATGAGGAAACACGGTTTAGATAACATTGTTTTCTCCATAGCTTTGAAAGCGTGTGCTGAGATGTGTGATTTGGATAACGGGAGGAAGATACATTGCGATGTTTTTAAGGTGGAAGGCTGTGATGAGATTGTGTTAACAGGGGTTGTTGATATGTATGGTAAGTGTGGAGAGATGAAGAGTGCTTGTCGAGTTTTTGAAGGTATTGCTTTGAGGAATGTGGTTTCTTGGACTTCTATGATTGCTGGGTTTGTGAAGAACGGTTTGTGTGAAGAAGGGTTGGGTGTGTTTAATAAGATGAGGGGAAGCTCTGTTTTGGGTAATGAGGTTACGTACGGTACTCTTGTTACGGCTTGTGGAAAGCTTGGTGTGTTACATCAAGGAAAGTGGTTACATGGTTGTTTGATTAAGAGTGGGATAGAGATGGGATCGTGTTTGGTGACTTCTCTGTTGGATATGTATGTTAAGTGTGGTGATGTAAGTAATGCGCGTCGAGTTTTTGATGATTATTCTCATGTGGATCTTGTTATGTGGACAGCTATGATTGTGGGATATACACATAATGGAAGTGCCAATGAGGCTTTGAGCTTGTTTCAGAGAATGAAAGAGGTTGGAATCAAGCCTAATTGTGTTACCGTTGCAAGTGTTTTGTCGGGTTGTGGTTTGGTTGGGAATCTTGAACTGGGAAGGTTAGTTCATGGCTTATCTATTAAAGCTGGTCTTTGGGATACAAATGTTGCTAATGCTTTGGTTCACATGTATGCCAAGTGTTATCAGAATAGAGAAGCTATGTATGTGTTTGAAATGGAGTCAGAGAAAGATTTAGTTGCTTGGAATTCTATAATTTCAGGGTTTTCACAAAACGGATCTGTCCATGAAGCTTTGTTTCTGTTCCATCGCATGAACTCAGAATCTGTGACGCCTAATGGTGTAACAGTTGCGAGTCTCTTCTCAGCATGTGCTTCTTTAGGGTCTCTAGCCTTAGGTTCCTCTCTTCATGCTTATTCCCTGAAACTGGGTTTCTTGGCATCATCTAGTGTTCATGTTGGTACTGCGCTCTTGGACTTCTACGCCAAATGTGGGGATGCTGAATCAGCTCGTGCTGTTTTCAACACTATAGAGGACAAAAATACAATCACATGGAGTGCTATGATAGGAGGCTACGGAAAGCAAGGGGACAGAGAAGGCTCTATTGAGCTATTTGAAGAGATGCTTAAAAAGGAACAAAAGCCAAACGAGTCAACCTTCACATCTATTTTATCAGCTTGTAGTCATACGGGGATGGTTAACGAAGGAAAGAAGTACTTTAACTCAATGTACAAAGACTACAACGTCACGCCTTCCACAAAACACTACACATGTATGGTTGATATGCTAGCAAGAGCAGGTGAGCTTGAGCAAGCCTTGGACGTGATCGAGAAGATGCCAATTCAACCAGACGTGAGATGTTTTGCAGCATTTCTCCATGGATGTGGAATGCATTCAAGATTTGATCTCGGGGAGATTGTGATCAAGAAGATGCTTGATTTGCATCCTGATGATGCATCATATTATGTCCTTGTGTCTAATTTGTATGCATCGGATGGAAGGTGGAGCCAGGCTAAAGAAGTGCGGAATCTGATGAAGCAAAGAGGTCTTAGCAAGGTCGCAGGTCATAGCACAATGGAAACTGAGTTGTTATAGCTTTTCTGGATGAACAAAGAATCATATATACACAAAAGCACTCTTGGATAACGATTATTTGTTGTAGTGCACAGAGCAAGAACAGTTGTGTTGACTACATCGAACGAGGGTATATAAAAATAACCAACAGTGAACGAACAGCTCTGAACTATGCTAAGATTCCTGCTTTGTTGTGTGGTCTGAGCTAGAATCTGTGAGAGGGAATGCCACTTTCATCTTAGTCCTCATCTTTTGAATCAAAAGGAACTTCATGCCGAGGTTTGTTGTACTTCTCACGAAGCTGTTGGATTGGGATGAAATCTCCAGCTGTATCCGCACCATAGAAGAGGAAAGATATGTATGGATGATCAAACCTTTCCTGCAGAAATCCACACACAAACATGAGTCACAAAACATTTTAATGGAGATGGGATTGATTATCCACAACTAGACTACGAGTCTGCTCACTTTGTCAGGTTTCTCTGGAGCTAAAAGATTGTCTTCAGGAACTGCAATATCAGATTCACAGTCAGGTGATAATGAAAATACTCACTTATTAATGTTGGACTTGTATACTTGGAGCTTACCATATGCAACTAGTAGATCAGGATGGGTGCGAACATCGACAAGAACCTGAGCTTATTTGTATTTCATATATTAGTTTCATATTCTGTTTTCTATCAACATGAGTCTTTATGAACAGAACCTGATAAAATGGCTGATTGGAACCACGAGGCAACTTTTCAACTTCTGCAGCTTCCATCCAAGAGCTTGATTCACAGCAAACTGGATCCATCCCACAAACTACAGCTCGGTAACCTACAACAGATGAAAACATATCAATGTATGTGTTCCCCAAAACCAAAGCGAAACAAGCAGTAATACACATACCAAAAGTTTTGTGTTTAAGTTTCTGTCCCAAACGAAATGCATACTCTGCATTCTCAAAAGCCAAGGCTTTGGCAGACACAGCTAATGACTCTGCCTCAAGCTTTGAGATTTCATCTCTTAATTTAGCTGCCAAACCATAATCCTCACCGTCAATAGCATTCTGGAGATCTGCACTGCAATAATATACCAAACAAATAATACAGATGATATAATGTTTCACAGCTCAGACACACAAAGAGAGAATGAAAGGAGCTCACCGTAGTCTTATAATGCTAATACCCTTGTCTTGTGCTTCACTTTTAGATGATGATCCTCTTTTCGCTTCCTGCAGTCTTATCGCCTCCTCTTCAACCTAACCAACCACACACCGTTATCTACTGATTGTTTTGCAGTCTCACCGAAAGATTCAAAACATGAACTACCTCAGTTAGCTTTTCTCTGAGCTGTTGAGCAATGTCATACTGCTCCATATTCAAAGCACACTGTACACGAGTAGCCAAGTCAAGCTGAAAGAAGAAGATCAAAATATCTTCATTGGCACTCTCGCTACGCTCAGAGTTTGGGTCAAGACCTCCTTGGTCGTCACCACCTCCTTGAAATGGCCATCTAGCTTCAACCCTCATCATGTTTCTTTGCTTTAATGACTTTCCTAGAGATGATGATGTACGCAAGAATTGAAATAGATCACCACCAATCGATCCTGAAGATTTCACAAACTTTACACGATTCCTCCTCCATGAATTGTTGTAAACTTGTACACTCCCACAGATCGTTAACGTGCTTAGAGACTGACTTTGCACCATTTTTTAATTTTTTATCAGGACCGTACTCTTAACAATCGTTACTACAAAACCTAACAAGAAACCAAAGAGAGCAAATTCGGATGAGAATTCGAAATTCGAAATAAAAGGCACATAAATTAACTCGAAGAACATGAAGACTAAAAGGAAACTGTAAATGGAAAATTAGAGAAACTTACAAATGGTTGGTGAAGTTGTATAGATTCTGACCAGACTCGCCGATCAACTGAGAAAGTTGCCGGAAAGAAAGGAGAGTTTCTCGTCCTCACAGTTTTTTTCTCTGATTTATCCTTTTTTTTTCACTCTTAATAGGCTCTAAACCCCACTTTAGGCCCAATAACATGCTTTTCTCCTTAACTTGAGATTTTTTTTTCCTAACCATTACTAAAGTGAAGTTGGTTGGTTTTTAGTTTACAAAGATTGAATGCATAAGTTAAAGATTAATACGTAATATTAGGAACAATTTGATCATTGTTGGACACACACGAGAGCAGATAAACACACAAATCCTCTGCCAACATACAATACTCTTACACACACGAGAACATATTAAATTAGGATTCTATTACTCAAATGAAAAGACATGTAATGATTCAAGTTTCAAGTAGTTAGATTTAGTACTTGTACTTGGCTTATTCGAATCAAGTATTTGTTCTATCAAGTACTCGGGAAAAAAATAGTACTTGCAAATTATTTGATTTACTTTAATACTTGACAAAATTAAATACTTACCTATAAATGTTAGGTTACTTGCAAGAACTTAAATTAAAAAATATATGAAACAAGTACCTTTTTACGACTAACAAATATTTTTAAACAAATAATAAGTGATTTCTAACGAGTAACAAATATTTTTAACGAGTAATAAGTATTTTTTAGGATAACAAGTATTTTTAAGAGTAAGTAACGAGTAATGAGGCAATTAACAAGGTAAGTATGAAAAGAAATAACGATACCTGATACTTAATTCGAATTTGTAACTAGTAAAATCCGTTGACTTGTTACTTGGCTTAACAACGTCGAATACTTGCATTTTTAAAGTGGATACAAGAAAAGTAACGAGTATGATATATAATACTAAGTAATCATGCCCAGCCTTAGATGGAACATCGATGAGAGTCAAAAATCCGAGTTTTAAAAGTTAAATGGGAATAGAATAGCAAACACTAAACACATATTTCTATTGAAAAAAACACTAAATCTCTAGTTTTATTAATAATTCGAACTAGGCCCTGATTCAGTGGTTATTAATTCAGAAATAGACAAACCTATAAGTAAAACTAATCATGGAAGATAAATCACTACCGTAGTTATTTATTTCTTGTATCTACTAATTATAACATTAACCACTTTAGTGATGTCAAACAAAAGCATTAATCACTTCATGAAACCTTGAGCCATCTTAGCATAGTCTCCCAACCCATGACTGCCACCACCTCCCGATTTCCCATCCTCTTTCTTAACCGCCGGTTCTCCAGCTCCTCCATGGCTTCCGCTGACACCACCGTGACTGCCACCACCGGCAGAGGAGTGAGAGTGTGAAGTTTCGTACTTGTGGAGATAATTTTCAGCCTTCTCAAGGTACCCACCAATACCGCTCTTTTCATCCAGCTTACCGTATCTTTGAGCTGCGTCTAGTATGTCAGCAGTGGCTCCAGCGACTTTAGCTTTGTCGAGCTTGTCTGTCTCGTTACGTGAAGCGGCTTGAGCAGCGTCGGCTACGATCTTGGCGCTAGCCATGAGTTCTGCGTTCGTAGCTGGCTTATGTGTTGTTGGATCAGAGTTGGAAGCTGGTTTATGTGTTGGATCGGTGTGGCCTGGTTTGTTATTGTTGTGGTTCGGATCAGGGTGTGAAGTTTCTGGTTTCTTGTCGGATAACTTCTTTTTTACTTGGTCGGTAAGGAAATCCATGTTTCTTGTCTTGTTTTTGTGTCAAATGAAAAATGTGTTGTTTTAGTTTAACTTTGAATTTGGAAAATGTACAATAACAAGTTATTCGGGGAGGGTATTTATTGAAAATGAGAAAGATTAGTACTTTATTCATTGTCCATTAGTTTTGTTTTTGCCTCCGCTACTTCATGGGGATAATTATAGTCATGATGTTTGCACCACAACTCTACTTTAAGGAAAACGTAATTAGCGTTTATGGATATGGTCAAGAAGAGCTGAAGAGTGTTAAAACTTAAATCATTTCACATTTGATTGATCCCTTACCCAAGAAAAACAAATCCTCTCGTTAAGTACCACTTGTTCACCCTTTACTTTTAGAATTTTACATGTGAATAATCTGCATTTTCTTCATAATGTGGTATGCATAAAAACACAAAGACAATTCTTTTTTTTTTTTTTTTATAAAAAGCATTATTAAAATATAACTTAAAAATGATTCAACCAATTATTATAAAGGGTAAAATATAATTAATTAAACAGTTTTAGTAAATTTGTAATTAATTTGGAAATCTCAAAACATTTTACATGTATAAATACCAAAAATCTGATAAAACGTAATATATTATGAAATGAAAGGAGTAATTATTTTAAGAAAATGTATTACAGTACTATTCTTCCCTTCGCACGGTCTGAGTTCTTTCATAAATGTTTTGGTCTGAGTTCTTTCATGCATAATACATAAATGTTTTTAATTTACATTTTCGGTTGCAACTTGGAAGGGATATTGGGATCCGATGCCGCGACAGTAGGGTATGGCCAACTCATGAGAAGTTTTGAATGGGCCTACGACTAGAAGAGAGCCCAAATAGGCACTTTGAATAATTAACTAGTTTTTGTTCGGGATTTCTTTTTTTCTTTTATTACAGCAAAATATACAAAGATTAATTTATATAATCTTGAGGTGATAAAAACCTAAATGAAAAGGGTTCCTGGGATTAATAGCTTTTACAGAGGTCCCTTCTTCAACCTAAAAAAAACTCCCAAAAGAAATTTCCAAGGAAAGAAGAAACTTTCAAACTTCTGCTTCTTTGAATAATTTCACTTAGAAAAAAAAACATAAAAGCTGCAGAAAATCGAAGAAAGAAACCTCCAACTACTTCCCCTTCAAGTTATCATCATTCTCACCCCATTCATCTTTACCAAATATCTCCTCCATGATGTTCGAAGTTGGTAGAAGGTTGTTGTTCTTGGTCCAACAATCCGATGACGGGAGTCTTCGGTCACAAGCATCATCAAAAGAAAACAAAGCAGATCCGTGTGACTCTCTGTTAGAGAAGATCAAATTGGAGTCCTGCAACTCAAAGGACATACACGAGTCGTCTTCCACGTTCACCTCACCGTCTCTTGAAACCTTATCCATATTTACACAGTGAGCATCTGGTGAGTCTTCTTCCTCATCATCATCGCTGCTATTGCTTTCTTCTTCTTCATCATCCTCCTCGTTATCTACATGTGAAGAGCTCTTTCCTTTGCAAAAGACGTCGTACTCTACTTGCCACTCGTCATCGTCACTATCAACATCCAGCGTTTTAAGCCTGTTCTGTGTTGCACGTCTCCGCAAGATGAAGACGTTGAAGTAGTAGCTAACAAGCTCCTTCATGGTTCTCGAAGGAAACGTCGCCTTTAGCTGCTTCCAGAAATCACGTCCCAGTGAAATAGGGTTGGAGTATACAACTTTATGAAACAAATCTTCTTCGTCTTCACTCCATAGGCTTATCACTTCGTCCCCCATTTCACACAGCCCTAGCTCTGTAAACTTTTCGTATCCTATCGCTTCGATCAGGCTCTCTCTCGCTTCCATGATGTGTCGCCGCACGCATCTGACCGTGTCTTTATCAAGACAAAGACATTCTTTTCTTCCTTGACCGGCTACACAAAGGTCTGTCTCAGGCATTGGTATAATGCACTTTCCCATTAGTTTCCTTTCTACGTCATCGTTTGTTTTAACACGAGTCTCACATTCAGGGATAGACGCTTGGTGATTGGACCCAAGAGGAACTTGTTTCCTTGGTGGTTGATTCATCAGAGAAGTATAAACATCCTCCACGGGGGAAAGTGGTGTCCATGTGAAGTCTGATCCAGAAGATTCATGAGAAAGGGATGAATGAGTTTGAGCATCTTCCTGACACAGACCGTTTGAGATCCACGAGAAGGGTGCACATGTATCTAAATCCTTTTCCACTGCAAATAACACACATGGTAAAAAAAACATCCAAAGTTAACAGACTTTTAACCGAAGCTAAGTAAAAACATTTTGAAACAATTGTGAGGTTATAAAAGTACCTAAGACAGATGACTTGTCCAAAGGAACATGATATGGAATAGATTGGTCAAGTTGGTTAGGGTGGTAACTAAGCTGTCTTGCATGCTTAGCGTTGCATTCTTGCATCTCTTCAGCATCAAAAGGTCTCTTCAATCCCATGTTTTAAAAGACCTGAATGGTAATAGCCAAAAAGTCACTTTCTTGAAATTAAAGTATTTACATAAGGGTAATTTCAATTTCCAGATGCAAACCATAGTATATAATATCAATTTAATTTTTATGTGTGTGTATAGCTAAATGTGAGTTTATAAACTCGGACCCACGATAATTAAAGTTTTGATGAGTACTGACTGGGTGGTTTTAATTTTTAGTCAAAAGTCAAACTTTGCACATGGACAAGTGTTTCCCCAATTAATTAAAAAAAGCCCCAAATAAAAAAAAAATCCCCAAATTCCTAACCCTAGATTTCTCAATCGACGGCTAGAATCATGAAATCAAGAGTCCAAAATCAAGAAATCCATGAATACAAGCAAGAGGAACAAAAGCCCCAAATCAATTTACAGATCCAACGAACCCTACAGCATCAAATCACGTCACGAACAAATTAGGGTTACAAAATTTGGGGGAAAACTGGAAATCAAAGCGAAAACCGACGGATCTGTAAGAAAGAATCGATACCTAGATAGATCTAACGTTTTGTGGTGTTAATCGAAATCCGATTGAAAAAAACCCTAGGTTTGACAAAATCGTTGGATGATTATCAAAACAGGTATCAATCGAAAGGTAAAATCAAGAAGAACAAGAATATTACAATTGATTTGAAGATCGATTTGTAAGAAGGAGGGGATCTGATCGAATATCTTTGGAATTTTGTAGAAAAAAAAATTAGGAATTTCCAAGGCGGCTAGGGTTACAGATTTACAGGTGCAGAGACGTAACCTTATTAAATCCTCTAAAAGGAGAAATTACAATAGTGCCCTCTAGTTTGACCACGTGTCCTCTCAGATTACTTTTAGGCGTATTAAATTCGGATCGTACTCTAAACCGGATAAAATTGAATTTAAGAACTTCTGATCCTTAACCGGTATATAAAGAACCAGGTTCATTTACTTACACGGCTCAGTCAGTTAAATCCATTAGAGAATCCTGATGTGCCCTCTTTGGTGGAGAGCTTAAGGGGGTCACCATAAATTTGAAATTAATAGAACTGTAAGCTAAAAATACATGTACCGGCCTAAATTATGATTTTGATGATAACCGGACCAATATCATTGCCGGTATTCATTTCCTAAACCAATTTCACTTGACCGTCCTTTGTCTTTCGCTTTGACATTGATTGTCTTTGCCTCAACAAGTTTCTTCCAATATTAAACTGGTTGTGATTTGTTGGAAAGTTCACTATCGATAAATTAACGAACTGTAGGAGCTTCCTTAAAGAATTTGATAATTTTTAAAAAATTGTCACCGAGTTCATCATCTAATGATTCATTATGTCTAGAATGTAACCATAACTATGAACATAAAGCTGCACTTGAGATGAGTTCTTAGATCATAAGTCCGGTAGATTGGTTTTAAGAGAAGACACTGTCATTGTAATTCCTTGAACAACAAGAAAGCTTACATACAAATAGGAGTTGTGGTTTTGTTGCTATAACTAAACGTCACTGTAATTCCTTGAACAACAACAAAAGTTTTTTTTTTTTTTTGATCTTGATCGTTTAACAGAGACCTATAATGAGATTTTTTTTGTGAATTCATCAGTTAATCCAATCAGACATTAACACAAAAAATCAAAGTTGTGGAACCAAATTTAGAGCGCATTCTCTAACCTCCCATTTCTCATCTCTGACTTCAAACTCAAAGACTGATGATTCCTTGCAACTCACCTTTTCTTCCATTTTGAAAATGTAGAGATGCTCGTTTAAAATTGGAAAACGCTGCGAGTGTATTCCTGATCTATGTCTTACACTGGTGCTACCATCCTTGATACAATAATATACATCCAATTCTTTCCTCTCACCAACCTCGGCGTCACCCTTATTAACAACCAAGACGCAAGCCTTCAACCCCATCACTGGTATATGATGATCCGTGACATTCCATTTCGTTGACAGGGAACTCCCTGTTGCCTGCCAAAGAAAGTACGTAGGAATTTTTTCACCAGGTAAAACCGCAAATCTACAACTCCTTACGATCAACTCTCTTGCTTCTTGATTCAGTTTGAAGCAATTACCAAAGTTGGCACCAACATTTTGAAAACAACAAGAAGAATCTACTCTCTCCAGGGACTCGCAGTTTTCTGCTTTTAGGTATCGTAACGATTCCGGAAGCTGCGGGAGTGAAACCAGCTTTGTGCATCCACTGATTACAAGTTTACGTAGACGAGACATTTTCTTGATGCATGGAGATAGTTCTTGTATTCTCTTATCACACAAGCATAGCACCGTGATGAGATCAAAAGTATTCAAGGATTTCCTAAGGCTTTCACTGTATGGCATAGACAAGTGATGAAGATGAGTCCATGACCTGATCGATAAAGGAATATCTTCTATTTTAGTTCCCTTCAGCTTGAGGCGTTCAACGTTTGTGGAAATCTCAGGAAATGTTTTCAACGATGAGCAATCAGCTAGATCAAGTTCCTTGAGAGATTCCATGTTGATATTCACCGGAATGGACTCTAGCTTTTCGCAACCTTTCAAAGTCAACCTCTGCAGCTTCTGAAGGTTTCCAATAGAGGAAGGGAGCTCCAAGAGACTTGAGCATTTACTGAGTTTCAACTCCTTGAGATTAGTAGCATTTCCAATAGAGGACGGAAGCTCCACAAGACTTGAGCAACCACTGAGATCCAACTTGTGGAGATTCTTATTGAGGAAAGAAGAATCTAATCTCTCTAGGGACTCACAGTTTTTCGCTTCTAGGGTTTCCAATGAGTCTGGAAGAAGCTGCATGAGTGAAACTATCTTTGTGCATCCACTGATTATAAGTTTACGTAGACGTGACATTCCCTTGATCCATGGAGCAAGTTCTTGAATTCTTTGATCACACACGTGCAGCTCCGTGATGACGTCAAAAGCACGCGGGGAACTCACAAGGCGTTCACTGTATGACACAGCAAAGTGATAAAGATCACGAGACCATAACTTGATTGATGAAGGAATATCTTCTATTCCAGTTCCATTGAGACTGAGACGTCGAATGTTTGCGCAAATCTCAGGAAATGTTTTCAAGGATGAGCAATCAGCGAGATCAAGTATCCTTAGATATTCCATGTTGATGTTGACCGGAACGGCTTCTATCTTTGAGCAACCTTTCAAAATAAACGACGACAACTTATGGAGGTTTCCAATAGAAGACGGGAGCTCCACCAGACTTGTGCAGTCACGGAGATCTAGTTCTGTGAGATCAGTAGCATTGCCAATAGAAAATGGGAGCTCTACCAAACTTGAGCAATCGCTAAGATTCAGTTTCTTGAGATTAGTAGCATTCCCAATGGAAAACGGGAGCTCCACCAAACTTGAGCAACGACTGAGAAACAGTTCATTGAGATTGGTAGCATATCCAATAGACGATGGGAGCTTCACCAAACTTGAGCAACCACTGAGATCCAATTTCCAGAGATTAGTGGCTGTTGAGAGATTAGGAACCTCCTTCAGGTTTTTAGAATCCCTCAGATACATCCGCTTGAGATTTCTAATTCTCTATTACCAAAAAAAAAAAAGACATTTGATTAGATGCATTTTCATAGAGTAGAATTGAGATCTTTTTGTTCAAATTATATATACTTACTCGACTTCCTTCCCAGAGTTTCTCAAGATTGCTTGAAGGCATGTATATTTCCACGAGGAACTCCGGATCGAAATTAGAAGGCAAAGAATTGGAGATTACTCATTTTTTCAAACGCTTTGTCATTTTTATACAGCCCACCTTCGATCTCAGAATATTCGCAATCTATGCCTATTACGTTAGTACCCTGAAGAAGAAAAAAAAGTAATTATGGTTAGTTAATAAAAAATCTTACTACTAAAGGAGTAATTAAAACTCACTTGTGTGTAGTAGGAGTTCCTCAGTAATTGGCATGTTTCTTTACCATCAACCAAAAACTGCTGCTGCCCAGGGCCATGAATTGATTGTTTACGAACAATTCCTCTACCCAAACTCGCTAGCAAATTATGCATTCTTATCCATCCACGGTCGATACATATAAGAGATTTATCAGCTAAAACATGAAGACGATATCTCACAATAGAAATATTATTTGCTAGAAATTCTTCCACTCGATCAATCCATTCGTCATTGAAGAAACATGCTATATAGATAAACAAATCTTTATCTTCATCAGACAAAGCATCGTAACTGAACTTCAAAATGCTTTTGATTTCTCCGTTAAGGCTACTCCATAACCTTGGTAATTCCATTTCCCACTCCTGCATCGACTTTCCCCGGAAATAAGATCCCATAATCATTAGTCCTAGAGGGAGGTTACCCGCAAGTTGTGTAACTCTCCGAGCTAGGCTCTCGAAACCATTAGACGGTGACTTTTGACCAAAAGCATACGTGCAAAAGATTTTAAGAGCCTTATTGTCAGATGGGAAACCCACCTCATGTATATGGTTAATAGTCTTATGTGTAGGCAAAACTCTTTTATCTTGCGTTGTAATGATAATCCGACTTCCAGGACCAAACCACCGAGCTTCTTTAGCCAGTGCATGGAGATGCAGCAGATGGTTCACATCATCAAGAATGACAAGTACTCTTTTGTGTTTTAATCTCTCTTGTGCAACACCCAAATGACGAATCTTGATATCCTGCTGGTTGGTTATTCGAGATAACATCTCTGCTTGTAGCTGCAGTTGTGTGCTGTCTACATCTTGACAAGGTATTGGATATCGTCTTCTGATATTCTCCATGTAGACACTAAGCTCGAACTCACTTGAGTATTTTTCGAATAGAGCTTTGGCAATGGTGCTCTTACCAATTCCAGAAGGACCCCAAATCCCTATCATCCTCACTTCATCAGAGTCAAGGCTTAATAATTGTTCCATCTTAGCCATATGAGCTCTCATCCCAACATAACCGCCCAAAACACTTGATGACACAGTATTTAGCACCTCTGCTGAAACATAACTGGCTATTTTTTCGATCATGTCCGCTTCATTATCCCTTACAAGAGTAAATATTTAAACATTAGTGGCGATTTTTAATATACTATATTATCTGCACTAATGTTCTAAAATTAGGTAGAGGTACTTAGACGTTTTATATAAAATTATTCTTTTAGGCGGATGTCCAAACCGAACGCCTACACCGATTTTTTTTTTTTTTTTTTTTTAAGAAATCAGTTGGAATAAATTGTTTTCCTTATACTTTGCAGACTAGGCGATCGATTTTTAGAACATTGATTTGTACTAGTTTTTATGGACTATAAGCTATAATAAAGAGCACAACTAGGAAATTAAAAGGACGAACCCCTTGATTGAATGGTAACCAGCGGTTGTAGCTACGTCCTCCAGAGCTTGTCTCCATCTCTCAGTCTCTTCTTTGCTTCTACCCGCACAAGTCTTTCTGAAACCCTTTCCAAAATCTCCGGTAAGCTTCTTTATATCAGCCGGGTCAACTTTATAGAAAATGGGCAACACAGTTTGACCCAACTCTTTCTTGCACTTCATAATCTCAACTAGTTCGTCAAGACACCACTTTGAAGAAGCGTAGTTCCTCGAGAGCAAGACGATGCCGAACTTAGAATCTCTAATGGCACTTATGAGTTCAGGACGGATGGATTCTCCTCTCTTGATCTCTTTATCAACGAAGTGTGTGATTCCTTTTCTATGAAACTCCTTCTGAAGATGACTGAAAAAATTATCGCGGACATCTTCTCCGCGGAAGCTCGGAAAGACGTCGTATGTCCAGCTATTAGACGAAGGAACTGATGATGATGAAGGAGGAGGAGGAGAAGAAGACGAAGGAGAAGCATCGGGTTCTTTGTTTTCTTGATGGGGTCTAAACAGTTTAAAGATCACGAAGAAGCCTATTGCAGCAACAACAACATCGGTAACTAAAACAGAATTCATTCTGTGTGGTCTGAGAGGTACAGATCTGTGGAGAAAGAAACTGTTTGCATAGTTTGAAGAAAGGATGATATCTTTTACACATAAAAAAAATAGAACGTGCTATGATTGCTATCAAAACATTGACTTTGTTTTTTTAGTCATTGTATAAAAAGTTTATGGAAGCTTCGTGGTACCAATCTTTATCTTTTATTTAAGGTACGTACGAGGTGAGCTGTAGTCTTGGACTCGGGTCAGGCCCAAACCCGGTTGAATGATCCGACTAAAGTTTTGGGCCTTTGTCTACATTGTTGTTCAGGTCTTGAAAAAATTCTCACTAAAATCATCATCTGAGGCTTTATTCTGTCATGTGATCCTACTCTTTTCGGAGCCATATACTCTTCTCGATGTCAGAATATTAAACCAGCATGTGATCATATACTCGTGTGGAACATCTACTAAAGAGATCGCTTCCACATTTTTTTTGCATCAAAATTCTCCAAATTAAGAGCATCCCAGTTCAAGCCTCGAGCATTTTTAGTGACATATTTTCTGATGTCAAAAAAAGAGAGACATATTTTCCTTACAAGGTGGAGAAAGGGGCACTAGAATTACCAGTAAGATTCTATAATATACTCCTTCTGTTTCAATATAAGTGTCACTCTACAGCTATGCACACGGATTAAAGAAACAATTAATTTTACATATTTCCTATATAAAAACACAATTACCCACACACCTAACCATATTTTAACCAATAGAAAAACAAATTACATAATAAAATTAATAAATTTTGCATTGAAAACCGAAAACGACACTTATTTTGTAACACAAAAAATTATCTACAACGACACTTAATATAAAACGGAGGGAGTATCTGTTTTTAGTTAAGCTGATGCTGATAATGCAAAGAAATTACATGAACATAGAATATGTGGCGGGTAATAACTGCTCAAACTTATTATTCAAAAGAAATGGCTCAAACTTTATATTCAACACAAAACGATATATAAATAAGTAAACTTTGCCTTCTTGATCTTATGATTTTAAGCCATCAACTCAAGTTCTGTTCTATATGAAATTTTAGCTACAATCTATTACTCCTTCCGTTTTTATTTACTCGTTGTAGAGTAAAATTTCCGTTTTAAAATAAGTGTTGTTTTATAATTTCAATGCAAAATTTATAATTTTCTTCATTTCAGATTAGATGTCATTTTTGAATAAAATTTTCGTTTTAAATAAGTGTCATTTTATAATTTCAGTACATAATTTATTGATTTTAAATGTCATTATATTTCTCATTGGTTGAAATTCGATTATGTGTATATGTAAGTGTGTTTTTATTTTGAAAACATGCAAAATTATTTTTTTCTGAATCTGTGTGCAAAAACTTAAAATAACATCTAAAATGAAATGAATAAAATAATTTTTATGTTATTTTATTTTTCTATTGATTAAAAATAGTTAGATTTAAAAATAGTTAGATGTATAGAAAATTGAGTTTTTTCTAGAACATATGTAAAATTAAATGTTTTCTTAATTTGTGTGAAAAATCTAAAATGATAAGTAAAGTAAAAGAGAGAGAGAGTAATAAAATTCAAATAGCTGTTGCGTTGTAATAATGTTTGGTTAATGAGAAAGTGAATGTAGTTAATTTTGTTTTATTATTTATTAGAGGGGGCATAGGAAAACGATTGCTTTGACGTTTTGTTTTGTTGATTTGCTTAATGAGATAGTGAATGTATCTATCTCCTTTCTTGCTTTGTTGTTTTATCAATATAATATAAAAACTTTTATTATCATAACAAGAAATGGTTTAACCATTTGATATTGATATTTTTGTATATAAATTACAAGTGTTTTTTTAACCATTTGAATTATTGAACTATTTTTTTTTATATAAATTATTGAACTTTTTTTTTTGAAAGGACTTAAAATACTTACTCATGATGGTTGGAAATCTAGACACTCCAATCTATACCAGCATCTGTATGACTAAAATACATAGACCATAGTTAGTGTCGGTCCTAAGATATAAGGTGCTTAAAGCACATTCAAAATAATTTCCACTTAAATAAACTTATCGAAACAAAGAAATGCAAAGAGATATCATGACTTGGGCGTTTTCATATAAAAGATCTTGAATTATTGTTTTCAGCAGAACTTTTAAAATTAATTGCTTACACATGATGGTTGGAAATTAAGACAATCCAAATCTGTACCAACATTTGTATGACTAAAAGACATAGACCATAGTCCATATAGACATGTAACGTGTCTATGATTAGGCTATTAAAGTTTTGGAGAAAAGTATAATATTACTACAGAAATATTCTAAAACAAACACACTCTTTTTATCATAATATAAACCCACAGATGAACTCGTTGTATCACCACTTTCTTGTAAATTTGTAATATATAAAAACTTTAACTAACACACATAAAAAGAGTTAAAAAAAAAACAAGAAATCATTATTGCTCACCAACAACAGCTCAATAATATTATTTTTTGTGAATTTCAAAAAAATAATAAAATAAAAGAGACAAAGAGACCAATTTATTAAATGACGACAAAAAGAAAAGTGCACCACGAATTGCAATTATTCCCATCCGCTGCTTCTCTCATGACTGTTTTTTCTTGTTTTTTAAAAAGCTACTAACACAACTTATCCAGATCTAATTAGAATATACAATCACTTTAATTAATTAATCTCCATTAATCACCTCACTTAATGGTACTAACTTATTACTAATAATTTACCTATATTCAGAAAAAACAAAACGATTAAATAAATAAACAAAAATTCATAAAACGAACACCAGCATCAGCTTACAGAGAGCGCCCATATAATTGGAATCTCTCATCCTCTCTTGTCTCCAATTCTCTTTGCCATTAATTGGTCCGAAAGCTAAATCCTTTTCCAGCAATCTATTACAACAACAGGTACGCATCTCCAAAAACCCTAATTTCATTACCATCTCTGTCGTGATGAATCATTGTGTTTTGTCTGATCTGATCCGAGATCTCATCATGAAATAAAGCTTCAAGATTTGAGCTTTTCTTTTTTCTTCCTCTTGACGATAAACACCGAACACAAAAAAAAGCAAAATTGGCTTATGTTTCTTCTATCACTAAGCTATTTTAAGTAATGTTTCCTTTTTGGGGATGTTTTGATCTGTGAGATTTGTTTGTAGGTACATGGTTTGATTTGGCATTACATGTCTCTATCAGTTCCCATTTCCTGATTTGGATCACAACAGTGGAATAAAAAAAGAGTATGGCTTCAAGATTAGGACTTTGTTAGAGAATCTCTTACATTATGACAAGTCCTTGGTACAAGAGTGTTGCCTCTGTGTTTGGTCTCAGACCAAGGATCAAAGGCTTGCTTTTCTTTATCCTCGGTGTTGTGGCTCTACTCACCATTTTATCTCCCTTGACATCCACTTCATATGAGGCTTCTACTAGTTCAAGACTTGTGCCCAACATTTATAGTAACTATAGGAGGATAAAAGAGCAAGCTGCTGTTGATTATCTTGATTTAAGGTCTCTCTCACTAGGGACTAGTCTTAAAGAGTTTCCTCTGTGCGGTAAAGAAAGAGAGAGCTATGTGCCTTGTTATAACGTTACTGGGAATTTACTTGCTGGGCTTCAAGAGGGTGATGAGTTGGATAGACATTGCGAGTTTGAGAGGGAGAAAGAGAGATGTGTTGTTCGTCCTCCAAGAGACTATAAGATACCACTTAGGTGGCCTCTTGGTAGAGATATTATATGGAGTGGGAATGTGAAGATAACTAAAGACCAGTTTCTTTCTTCTGGAACCGTTACAACAAGGTAACTTTTCTATTTTGAGACATCAGTTTATACAAATACGGTTTCACAATGTTGCTTGTTATCATTGTTGTTAGGTTAATGTTGCTTGAAGAGAATCAAATTACTTTTCACTCTGAAGACGGGTTGGTCTTTGATGGGGTTAAAGACTATGCTCGTCAAATTGCTGAGATGATAGGCTTAGGAAGTGATACTGAGTTTGCTCAAGCGGGTGTAAGTTTTCTTGAGATTATTAACTTTTTCAGCTCCAGGTTATGAGATGGCTTTATGATGCTTTTGTAGGTACGGACTGTGTTAGACATTGGTTGTGGATTTGGAAGCTTTGGTGCGCATCTAGTGTCGTTAAAGCTGATGCCTATATGTATTGCAAAGTATGAAGCTACTGGGAGCCAAGTCCAGTTAGCTTTAGAGAGAGGTCTTCCTGCAATGATTGGCAATTTCTTCTCAAAACAGCTTCCTTATCCTGCTTTGTCTTTTGACATGGTCCATTGTGCTCAATGTGGCATTACTTGGGATATCAAAGGTAATTACATCGATGTTTGGTTCCTTGTCTTTGAATTTGAGTAACTCTGTGTTGACATGATGATGTATTCTGTTTGTCTCTTGAGAAGATGCAATGCTACTTTTGGAAGTGGATCGTGTTCTGAAACCCGGAGGGTACTTTGTTTTAACTTCTCCTACGAACAAAGCTCAGGGGAACTTGCCAGACACGAAGAAAACGAGCATCTCAACACGGGTGAATGAGTTGTCTAAGAAGATATGCTGGAGCCTAACGGCGCAGCAGGATGAGTCGTTTCTTTGGCAGAAAACTGCTGATTCAAATTGCTATTCCTCTCGGTAAGTATAATGATCCTAAGGCATGTAGTTGGCATTGAAAGTGTATATCCTTGGCTGATCCTGTTTTGT